GCGAGGACCCATCCATCGCCGCTTGCGGCTTTAATTTCATTTGATGCAACATCATTCAGTCGACCACCGAAAGTCCAACGGTTCAAATCAGCAGAGAATCCCTGAAAGTGCTTCAAAGGCTGTACAACACCGGTACTGCACTGGAGAGGGCTCTGGTCCATGTACCGCCAAATACATTTTAGAACTAGTACTGCTCATACTGTAACTAGTACTGTAACTAGTACTGCGGTCCTTGTTGTGGACCCTGCAGGCAGAGGTCAGGTGGCTCTGAATGGTTTTCTTGTTGATTGAAACGTACCAGTCAGTGCTGGAGGAGTACTGCAGGAACAGTACTGCTAACACACAGTAAAGGTATAAATACTGCAGTAACAGTACTGCTAACACACAGTAAAGGTATAAATACTGCAGTAAGCGTATCAGCAGTACTACAGTACTGCTGAAGGTCATTTGACTGAAGCCAGCGTTTTCCTGCTGATCATTTGGTTGCTTGGACAGAAACGTGAGTTCCGACCTCCGTTTAAACACAAAACACGAACCAGTTGGTTGGTGACACGTGGGGCTTTTATTTTGACAGACCAGGTGTGTCGGCACCTACAGGTACATGTGATGGTTTCAGTCGACGTGAACAAACTTTTCCCTTAAGGTTCATCTACAGGTGAAGACTCGTAACATCTCAGCCAATCACAGAGGAGGAGGCGGGGCAAGTGCAGGTACAGGTGAAGACTGGGTAACACCTTTCAGCCAATCAGGGAGGAGGGGGCGGGGCTCAGGCGAAGTTCTTCTTCAGGAAGTTGATCAGTCCGTTGGTGGACGAGTCGTGGGAGGAGACCTGGGAGGCGTCCTGCAGCTCCGGCTCGATCTTCTTGGCCAGCTGCTTCCCCAGCTCCACCCTGCAGGTGGTGAGGCAGGAAGTCGCATTCAGGTCGCATTCAGGTCGCACTTAACACGCATTCACACCGCAACTTAATCTGACAATGTCACGACTTGTAAATGCAGCAGCTGACTCTAATTTCTAGTCGTCTCTTTAAGGTAGTGACTCGTTAACAGAATGTTCAGGCTGACGCTGACATCAGCTGAAAACACTGCAACACATTTATATCGCAAACTACCGAAAAGACACAGTGACGCCATTAAACAGCAGATTTATTAACAGTGCAGCAACACAACTGCAACATCTCTGAACTGGTGAATCTGGTAACTGCCCATAAATAATGACTTCCTGTAACACCTGACTTGTCTAATCATTAGGACCTGGTGGCTGCACAGCGGTCGGACTCACCCCCACTGGTCGTAGCTGTTGATGTTCCACATGACGCCCTGAACAAAGATCTTGTGCTCATACATGGCTGAAAAACAGGAAACGTGACATCATGAGTGTGGATCCCACCTGGTGGAGATGTGATGTCATCATCAGGTCACACCTGGACAGTCTCAACATGCAGCCAGGTGAAGAAAGTAATCGAGGTCGTTCACCAGGCAGCTAACACTCCCAGTCACATGACTGGGTTTAGGTCCAGTCCAGTTCCCTTCTACAGAGGTCAAGTAGCATCTGACTGAATGCACACTGTTACAATGAGCTGATGACTGAGAGCCTCCACATGCTAACGGAACACATGCTAACGGAGCACATGCTAGCAGAACCTATGCTAACAGAACACATGCTAACGGAACACATGCTAGCAGAACCCATGCTAACAGAACACATGCTAACGGAACCCATGCTAACAGAACACATGCTAATGGAACACATTCTAACAGAACCCATGCTAATGGAACACCTGCTAACAGAACCCATGCTAATGGAACACCTGCTAACAGAACACATGCTCCTAGAATCAGATGAAACCCAGAACTTTTACTTGACACCAGACTGGTTCTGTCCTGGTCATGTTCCAGATGTCTGAGCGGGTTTTGCTGAACTTCCCTTTCCAGCAGCCCTCTGGTTTACCTGAGGTCTGGCTGGGAACAGCTGGACTGAACTAACTGTGTATGAAGCGTTTCACTGTGGACACGGCTCTGCTGAAAGCTCCCAGTACTCACCAACCAGAGCTCCCAGTACGAACGGGGTGAGCTTCTTAAAGACGATGGAGTTGCTCGGCTTGTTTCCCTGGAAAACCTTCAGATGAAACACGAAGACATCAGTCAGCAGTTCTGCTCCGGTATCAGATCAACACAAAGACTCCGTTCATCAGTGAGACACTCTGACACAAGAGTTTGTTTCTGCTCCATCTCAGAATATTTATTTGTTGTTTGGGACCCAAAACAAAGTTCTGAGAAACGTTGAACGATGAATTTAGAGAATTTCAGATGTTCTCAGACCCGAGAACTTTTCGATTTTCACCCTTAAGCAACCTGAGAGTCCATTTCCAGGTTCAGAACCTCCAGAAATGAAACTTCAACAGCTGTGAAGTATGGAGACTCAGACAGAACAGGTCCATCAGAACCACTGGATGGATTCATCAGGACACAGTTTCATTATTGATCCCAGAAAGTTCCTGTCAGTGTCTATCTATGGATGTGATCAGCCTCATCAAGACAGGAAGCAGCCTGTAGCTCTGCACATCTGGAACCTGCGAACTCCAGGTTCTGGTTCCTACCAATGATCCACATCAGCATTTAGTCTAAACATCTAAAACAGAACCTTGTCTGGTCCAACTTTACCTCATCAGGTTCTGCTGATGCTAGAGCCTCAGCAGGTGGTGAGATGTGACCAGAGACTGGACTGAGTTCCTTGAAGACGTTCCACCTCATCCAAGAGGCTTCAGTCCAGCTGCTACCATTCATCTACCAGAAGAACCATGAGCTGGAGGACTGAGGATCTTCATTTGACAGAACTTAGTTTTGTGTCCCACAGAACCAATAACCTCTGAACAGAGCCTGAGACGGTGCAGTGATCCAGAACCTGGCCTGTGGAGTGTGAAGGCGGCTGGTTGAGGAGCTTCTCGTGGACTTACTTTGTGAGGCAGCAGCTGCTCCAGAGCGTCTCCCTTCATGCCGGCTGCCTCCAGCTCTTTTCGGGCCTCGTCTGGAGTTTTTCCCTTCATGAGAGCTTCTGTCTGGGCCAGAAAGTTCGCCACCAGGATCTGCAGGGAGGAAGTCCAGTAAACTGGTTACAGCACGCTAATAAAGGCTGGTTCTCTGCCAGAACCTCGACCCGACTGGTCCAGGCGGACGTCTGGCTCCCCACATCAGGACACTCATCTATAGAGTCTTTCACACAGGAGGTGAAACCAGAGCTGTGATCATTTAACTGTCAGGAAGTCACTCAGATACCTGCCAACAAACTGTTCATAACAACATTCCCATCATCCAGCAGCGGTTCTGGTCACAACGACCAAAGATCCAGTCATGTTCAGGGCTTTATTCTCTACGTGTCAGTGTGGTCACATGATGTCACTGCAGGAAGAACACATCAAGCTTCTTATTGTGCACATCACAGGCGTTGGGTCGGAGCTCTGAGCTCCCAGCAGCCACACTGAGCCGGACGGATACGACCAGCGTCGCCTCAACAAGCAGCAGCTGAAAGCCTCGTCAAATAACTACCATGTAACGATGTTTTTAACCTGATCCTAACAACCAGACACTCGTTAGTGTTTAACCCTTAAACAGTCGGTGTTTGTTACCAAGTCCTGCTGTTCGTCTTCAGTTTGCCTGAACGCTGCCTCAGACCAGCTGTTCTCTCATTGGCTACGGCCGACCGCGTCCTGAAGCTGATTAAAGCATCTTTAACCGATCGGTGTCGGACTCCTGACCACTTACACGGGCCTCCAATGGGAGTCACTCTGCTAATTAATGCAGCGCTATTTATTGTTAATTAACTTGTAGTATAAAATTCGTACACATTGAGCCAGTAACGATGTCCTCGTTGGTCCTTGATTTACGGGTACGAGTTCTGGTTGGAGGTCCTGAACCTCCTCAGAGTCTCTGTCATGGTCCCACAATGCTCTCTGCTGCCACCAGGAGCTGTAGTCTGTAGACGCCTCCTCTGGTCTCGACAGGGTTAAACAGGGAGATGCTCCACCTGGTGGAACAACCAGGTACTGCAGCTGGTCTACGACAACTGACGTATTTATTATCGAGGAACATGGAATCAGCAGATACTAAATATTACATGACTTGGATCAAATTGGGAATCTTTTAAAAATATTTTGGGGACTTTTGGGATTTTATAAAACATTTTTCAGATGTTATTTATACTGGGGGGAGTTTTCGAACCTACATTTAGATTTTTACAAGGTTTTCACACTTCTTTATATTTTTAGTGGATTCTTCTGACATTTATTCATTTTTTAGTTATATTTTCAAAATATCTTCACATCTTAAAAAAAAAAAAAGCCTAAAATACAGCGTTTGTCAGCCAGAAATGGTAAAAACTGGTCCTGGTCCGAGTTTAAAACGGATATTTTATCTGAATTTCTTTATTCCACGTCTCCTTCATCAACAGTCGACTTGTTGTTAAAGCCATAGTTTAACCTTTGATGTGGACATGAACCAGTTTTTACTGGAGGTCAGTGCAGGTGTATGTGACATCACACCAGGTGGGCGGTACCTTGTGGTGGAGGCTGTCTCTGATTGGATGCTGAGACTGAGCAGGAATGAGGAAGTCGGCAGGAATCATACGAGTTCCTGGAGAGAAAACAACAAGTCAGTCGACTGGACGGCATCGAAACCAGTTCAACCAGTAAGACCACAGTTCGAATAAGACTTCGACCCAAATCAGCTGCAGATCAATTTTCACTAATCGATCAATAGACTGTTTTAACTGATCAGATGATTTAGTTTGAGTTTAGATTAAAACATCTGCATTAAACCAGAAGAGTGATGATAAACCTCAAACTCACTGGTTAACTGGTTGAATCCTGTCAGTTTTGTGTATTAACCAGTTAACCAGACGAGTTACAGCATACTAACCAGTTAAGCAAGTGAGTTACAGTGTATGAACTAGTTAACCAGATGAGTTAATGTGCATTAACCAGTTAACCCGGTGCAGTCACCTTGGTGGATGAGCTGGTAGAAGGCGTGCTGCCCGTTGGTTCCTGGTTCTCCCCACACGATTGGTCCGGTTTGATAGTCGACCTGACGGCCATCTTTGGTGATGTACTTCCCGTTAGACTCCATGTCGCCCTGCAGCACACAGTTAGTTAGTTAGTTAGTTAGTTAGCTAGCTAGCTAGCTAGCTAGTTAGTTAGCTAGTTAGTTAGTTAGTTTCAGCTGCAGATTCAGATTCTGATACTGGTCTTATACTGGTCTCATACTGGTCTTACCTAGTCTACGTACTGGTTTCAGACTGGTTCTGTAAACCGTCACTCTACCAACAATCCAAACCAACATGGGTTCAGAAAGACATCCTGAAACAGATCTCTGCAGTCTGAGCCCGACTTCGGACTGGTTGTATGAAAATAAACAACTTTATTTCAGCGGACCAGAACCAGAAGTTGGACTTTTTCTTTCATATTCTTTGTTGTGATTGTTTTATTGCTGCAGCAGAACCACGTTTAGAATCACAACTTGTTGGTTGGATGCAGCTTCCTGCCATCTTTCCTCCAACCAGACGGACCGACACCGACCTGCTGCTCTAATCTGGACCATCTAATCTGGACCATCTAATCTGGACCATCACTGACCTGCTGGAAGTAGGCGGCGAAGCGATGCATGTACTGGTCGTAGGGCAGCAGAGCCTGAGTCTCTGCCTTGAAGAAGTTAATGTACCAAATGCCGAGAACGGCCAGCAGGACGGGAACGTTCTGGTCCAGCGGGGTGCTGCGGAAATGTTGGTCCTGCAGAGAAATGAGGACGAAGAAGAAGACGAGGGTTCAGCTTCATGTTCATAATAAAACGCTGGTAGACTGGATGTTGTCATGAGAACCTGCAGCCGTAGGTCACTCATAGTATCTCTGTTCTGGTCTGCCGGTGTTCTGGTCTGACGGTGTTCTGGTCCCGTGGTTTTCTAGTTGTACTGCCAGTCTAACTGTGCCCCCCTTTGGTCCGACTTGTTATTTCTAGAAACGCTTTGAGGTTCTTTGGTGGTTAGATTTTTCGTTTCCGAGCTGCTCCGTCAGAACTCCACGTTTCTGAACATTTGCCGTCATTTGGTCGATGCCGTTCAGACGTAAATAACGATAAAACGTCTGTTCTGCTTATTTCCATATCGATGAAGGTCAGACGGACTCCACCTCGTCTTTCACCGTCCAGTCTGATGTTAAATTATCGTCTGGCATTAATCAGGTTTTATTTGTTCACATTAAAAACCTTCAACAGTGTATTATACAAAATGGACTGGTTCTGTTTAGAGGCTGTGACTAGTTTGGTTTGAACGTTGTTTCAGGATAAATCTACACGACGTGAACTGTGAATCCACCGACAGGATCCCTGACCAGTTTCATTTTCCACCAAATGACTACAAAGGATTCCATTAATTCAAACCACCAGAACTCTGACTTACACAAGTTCTTCTTCATGAACAGAACATGTGATCTGCTCCTTCATCACACCAACGCACTCTCACATTCTGACTGGTGAAATATTTGTGTGCAGGACAGTGTTGGGT